AAAAATGTCTGGGTCTGGAAGATTGCCATGTTTGTCATGCAGGTTTTCTGTGGCTCATAAGGTTTACAATGCAGCACCTAGCATGACAAAGTCTGTGAGGTCTCTATCATGGCTATCCTGCGTGAGAAATTCCCTCTCAACCTGGTAAAAAAGGACGGCTGTTGGTAATCACGCAATACAGATTTTTTGCATGATTCAGATTTAGCATGACAAGTTCCAATTCTTCCAGACCCAGACATATTTGCAATGCATACATCTTTGCACAAGACCACTCGGTCTCGGGGCGATAGGCTGGTGAACACCTTGTCGATCCTGCGGAAGAACCTCCCCTACGAGGGGCTGGGCGGCGGGGTTCATGCTAGTTGCTGGCTCTTGCAGTGCTTCTTCAACATCCCCTTGTTCATCATCATCGCCCCCCAGGCTAAGCCAAGGCCGGAATTGGCCACATTGCATCTGACGCTCGCGCTCGGGCTGGTCCTGGTCCTCCCCACGACCCTGGGGCAGACGGCGGTCGGGCTGGTGCTGGTCCTCCCCCTGGGGCAGATGACCTTCTTGCATGAAAGATACCCCGGCGGTGTCCATGCGGTCGACGTCCTCAGGATCGTTGGGAAGATCAGCAGCTGTTGAACCGTTTTGCCCCTCGCCGCTGGCAACAACCTCCGCCGCTCGATGGTACGCGGCGTGTGCATCTGCCACGGCCCGACCAACAATCTCTTCCAGTGCAGCGGCGTCGACATCGACGGCGGGGGCGGCTGTCGTCCCGTTCAGCCGGGGGTTTTCTCGTTCCGGATGTTGAACAACGCTAGTACCAGCAGGTCCATCACCAGGTTGTAGAGCTTGGCTAACCGCCTGTTGACTAAGATCCCAAAGCCTGTTCGCTTCTTCCAAGGTCGGGGGCCGGTGGTCCGCGTCACTAGCAGCAGGTGTGGTGTCGACGACCTCCGCATCGCCATCCACCATGGCTGCTTGTCCCGCTTCATCCTCATCCCCGGCGCCGTGCTGTGGCCCCATCGAGGGCTCCTGCAGCGCCCTCACCTCAGCTTGCACGCGTGCCAGTCGTTCTTCCGTGATTTCTCGCACATCCTGCAGGTGGTCGTGCTCCATGTCGTCAGGATCTTGTTCCCCTTCCCCGCTGCTCGCAGGTGGTCGTCCAGTCAACATCTGCGCAGTTGTAGTGTCGTCTATGCAATACAAATTTCTCGTACATGTGCAAAATGCATGACAAATTTCACTAACTTGCAGTGTCCAACTTGTCATGCTAGACTAGGATTGAAGGCAAGTTTTGTCATGCAGAGACTGCCTTTGTACGTGTACGGGAAATTTACTGTGGATATCGTCCCCCGCAGGAACAGGAACAGGAGCCTGGTCCATCTCCATCGTGATCCGCTGCTCTTCCTTCAAAAATCGATCCCCCTGGTCTACTGCACAGGACGCGCAAGCGGTCGGGTCGGCCGGGTCTACGCGACACAACTCCGGGGTCGAACTGGCACCACCGGCTGCAACAGTGCCTGCCGTGTCGTGAAACGTGGCGTCGGTTGTAGCCTGGTGGTCGTCCACCGCCGGTTGTAGTAGTTCCGGTTGGTAGTTTATCCAAGAAAAAAACTGTGTTAGTGTAGGTCTTTTGGGAAAACAGCATCACAAGTTCGTCTGCCATGACAGGAAAAACTTGTCATGCGCAGATAGGACGGGAAAACACGTAGGAAACGAGCCTATCATGCATGTGGAGCATGACAAGCGTAACTATTTTGCATTTTCTGCATCACAGACTTACATTTACACAGTTTTTTTCTTGCATATAGTTTCCGTGTGGTGGTCCCGCTCGCATCTTCGCGTGCACGCACCAGCCCCCATAATTCCAGGCAGAACCACTGCCCCCAAGCAGGGCCAGGACAACAATCTTTCCGCGCCGACGGAAGGAATTCATTTTCAGAAAGTGTTGTTGTTGTGACAACTACTTCGTAATATCGTACAGTCGTCTACTACTTGTTGTACACAATACCAATTATCGTCTAATCTTTTAATATGGGTTGACTTTTTACTACTTAAAGTTGATAGGTAGCTTCGGTATGTTCAAAGTTCTTACCTTGCGTCAGTGTGACTCCTGTTGCTTGAGGAACTAGTACCGGGTGTAGTACTCAGCTTCAACTCTCGTTTTTTTTTTTACCTCAGCCTTTTATTTATGCAATTGATCTTTCTTTCCTTTGATCATGTTATGGTGAACTTAACAAAGCACGGTCCACCTTTTCGTTCCGTCTGTGATTGTCAGTCTAGCTGGAAGTAGAACAATAGATCCTGATCCAGCAGAGCGGCATAGTCTGTAACTCCGATGTTCGTTGTAGAGCTAGAGGATCAGTATGTTTCCTATAATCGCTGCAGAAACAGAATCAACAATCGTGCCCACCAGTCCAGTCCCAGTGCTGACTACACCAGTTGCATGATGAGCTGCCACCGAATAGGACGGGTGAGTATGAATGATCAGAAATTGCGACCGAAATGGATCTGTGTTGCATCGGCGACAAAGTTCTTGAAGGGCGAACTTATTTGCTAGTGTGATTTAATCAATCATGTAGAGCGCTTTCTACCCGCAGGCAGCTGCCCCTGCGGAGGTGGCGGTGCATGATCACCAGCAAACACAAAATAAATGCCACGATGGAAACATATCATACCGCAAAACAGTGTGCCAGTACAACATGAAATTCCTGTGGCAGAGTTCTTGCAGCCGTTCGTTTGTGATAGTTTTCTATTCTCCGGAGATATTATTACATCATTGCTGCAAGAGATCCATGGGCTGCATCAAGAGCAAAGTTTAGACAGATGATCTTGTCAGTACAACACCTCTGTGCAACATCAAAGCTTGTTTTGACTGTCCGGATTATGTACTTCGCATAAATAAATCATAGATTGATGATATCTCCTGTCACAGAAATTGACATTGTCCCCATCCGTGTAGGCGTAGTAGCATTTTTGTACAATCAAGAAGCGACCAACATCAAGGGCGGCAAGCTGTCGGAAAGACGTATAATTTTCCAAAACCTCCTCTGGAACTAGAACCAACAACTTGTACTCGCCCCGTTAGTATCAAATGCAAAAATGTCTGGGTCTGG